AAAGCTTTTTTCAAACTTTTTGTTGCCCAATAAAATCGACAAAGGTCTTTTTTACCTTTTTTGTAAAATGCTGGTGTAAAATAACAGCCGGTTAAGGCATGGAAAGTACGTAAACCAGCGCAAAGCTGAAAGCAAAGAGCCCGGACAATTTATGTGGCATTTATGAATCTGCAATTGTTTCCAAAACCAAATTGTGAAGTAACATTGACACTTGTGTCATCACAAATTGTCTACCACTCTCATCTGAACACGGTCGATTCTTCTGCCAATTGACAGTTTGTCTACTTGATAATTATATATTGTAAGGAAACAACGGCAGACGGTAGAACGTTGGTCAAAGTTATTACTTTTTTTTCTGCAAATTAAAAAAAAATTCAATTGTATGAACACGATCTATTCGTCTGCCGATTGACAATTTGTCTACCTAATAATAATATATATTGCAAGGAAACAATAGCAGACGGTAAAATGTCGGTCAAATTTATTACTTTTTTCAACAAATTGAAAAATATTTTTCAGTTGTATAAACACGGTCTATTCGTCTGCCATTGATTTTTTTCTGTATTTTCAATACTGAAGTTAATATCTTACCAAGTTTTATACGGTAAAACATTGTTCAGAGATACAGTAAAAAAATTGTTAATTACCTAATGCCTATAAATTTTTAATACACCAGCAAACCGTCTGCCTTGTGAAAATTTGTTCATTTCATGCTACTGTCAGTCTACGCTGTGCTTGGCAGATGGAAATAAATAAAAAATTCATGCTCTAGCCAGAATACCATGTAACCGTCTGTCAGTTATTTTTTTGTGGGTTGCGTAACCTAGTCATCCGGTAGCATGAATGGCAGACGGTAAAATGGTGGTCAAGGAAGCTTTTTTTTATGCAAACTAGAGTTGATGTTTCAGCATGTGTAACATGAGAAAAAAATTCGTTCAACGCATAACACTGTTGCTTGTGGCTGTAAATATGTCTTCTGAAAAGGGCAGACGATAAAAAATGGGGTCAAAATTTTTATCACGGGCCCCCGGTCTGAAACAAAAAACCTTGTCAGTTGTTTTCAAATATTTTCCCTCTAGATTTTGTTTATAAAATGTGCGAGAAATCACCACATAACTTGTTCCAGTATTCAAAATGAAAGTCTACGATTTATAATCTATAAAGAGTTTTATAAAAACAGGGTTTGTCCTTGCTTTCAAACTGTACAGAGAATAGTCTTCCGATCCTAAGTCATTTCAATTTTCAGTCAATTCATTAAATGAATTTGCATTTCTTTTATTTGGACACATAGGAGCAAGACGCATTTTTTTATCACATATATAGCAGTTACAATTTCTATAAGAACACTTATCAGTTTTATGGTTCTTACGGCCGCAAACGGAGCAATTGGAATGTGATGGTGGATCCGTACGAATTCCCCTCTTTGAGCCGCCACCTCCTAATCCCGAACTGCCGCCGCTCGTACCTGCAGGTCTGTTGTCTCCACAGTTGTTTTTCCTTGACGATGACGCTCGAAATGGAAGAGGTCTCTTGAGCTCAGAAGATCTGGACTTGTTATTCGTGTAGTAGATTTCTGGTTCCATATTGACAGTCCTGTTGTAATTTTCTGCAACCGTACTTTTGGAAGACGTAACTTCTATGATTTCAGCAAAAGTAACTGTTTTTTTTTCTTCATATAGCCTATCCTTCACTCGACCAGAATCATAGCCAATGATAAAACGATTTACTGAAGCCTTATTAATTTCCTCAGTCTAAGATTATTTGCAATTTGCTAGTAATGCTCGCCGTTTCGCAGCCCACTCTTTCGGAGATTCATTGGCTGATTTTCGTGGTTCGAAAAGTTTTTTCGACACGCAAAAACATACACTACCGGTTGAAAATGATTGTCTATGGATTTCACAATATATTCGTAAGATTTTGTTTCCGGAATTAACATATTGAATGGTAGCTGAAACGTCTCTTCATTCATTCATAAACTTAAAAGAATGGCACGTTTTCGTTCACTTTTGTCGATACTATTTGCCGTGAAATAATTGTTGAAACGACGTTTATAAATCGACCAATCCTACGTAGCAGGATTGAATTGAACTCAGGGTTCACTGCTGAGCGTAAAAAAATTAATTTGCACTTCTTATCAATCATAATATTACTCGTCGTCACTTGTGATGTATTCAAATTAATAAATCAACACCATATTCCCCATCCTTCATTCTGTCGCTCACCTAGACATATTGCTGGTCAGTACGTATATTATATATAAAAAAGTACTATGTACAGAGTGTCACACTAACATACTATACTGGATGTAACATAAGTACATTAAAATATTCAAGTGACGTTTTATTGAGACAATTTTAAGAAAAAAAGTCTATGTGTAGTTGTGTCCGAAAATGCTTCGTTTCGGAGAAACGAGGTGTTGAAATTGAATTTTTTGTTCGCTTTTTGAAAATAAATCTTTCAAAAAATAAGTTATTTGTCTGAAATTCGGTACCCGGGGTTTTTTGACGTGGAAAATCACAATTTCGTAATAATTTTCATGTAACATCTAGAGGGTAATGCGTACGCTGTCATTATTTATTTCAAATTGCTCTAACTTTTTTGACAGTAAACTTTTGGTACTTTTCATGAAAAAACCTAATTTCCACACCTATTCCAAGTGAAAGAGTACAACTCCTCAACAACGCTGGAGGTGATCGTTTTCGAGATATTTACAATGTTCTATATCGATGCATATTACTTAGCTCCTAGGGCGCTAAGTGAAGTTGCTGAGAACATTACAAAAACTGAGTATGTGGTGGATCTCGTCAAAATAAACAACTTTTTTCTATAAATTGTTCAACGAAGAATGATTCGTTTTCGAAATACAGATTGTTGAAATTTTTCAAAACATGGTAGGTTTTTGTCATAATTTTTCTGCAATTTTAGTCATTTTCATCAAACTTCATATACAGTATACCCGTACAGACTTCTTCTAACCTGAGCATTATGGAACTACTTATTCAATCTAAATTAAAAAAAAAATTATCAGGTTTAATTATTCAATTAGAAAGTGCTACAGGAGTTCGCAAAAAAGGAAATTCGGAAAAGTACTATATTATTTATTAGGTAAATAAACATATCAAAATTGAACGAAACAACTATTACAACAATTTTTCAAAGTGACGACCCCCAACAGTATTACAAGCTTCTGCTCTCCTCATCAAAGAATTCCGCACCCGTTGAAAAATGCCCGGAGTGTTTCTTATCGTTTCGCAGCAAGCTATGATGCGATCCCTCAACATTTCCTCGTTTTCAATAGGGCTAGCATAAACCAGTGATTTTAGGTGTCCGCAAAAGGAAAAATCGACGGGATTGAGGTCCGGTGACGTCTGAAAAATTTTTTGCTATCACACTAAAATGAGCAGGAGCTCATTCGTGCATAAACCAAGAGTGATTTCAGAGACCAATGGAAACATCTTCCATAAGTTGGGGAAGGTTGCGTTCCAAAAAATGTAGGTAAGCATCTCAAACGTAAGGGGTGAAAATAGTGCCCAATTAAATAATCCCCAATTATGCTTACCCATACATTAAAAGAGAATCTGTCTTGGAAATGAGTTTGCATTATCGCATGTGGGTTATCTTCCGCCCACATGTGGTTGTTATGGAAGTTCATGATACCATTTCTTGGAAAATTAGCCTCATCTGTGAAGAGGATTTGCGACTTTTCTTTGAAGCCATTGAGCAAATTCGATACGTGGTGGGAAATCACGAAGTTTAAGTGCCTGGACACGTTGAATATGATAAGGATATAATTGCTGTTCTTTTAAAATTCTGTAAACTGCCATGTGACTCACATTTAAAGTTTGAATAATTTTCCTTGTACTTGCCTCTGGATGTTCACTAATTTATTCGAGAACCGCCTCCTCCAATTCTACAGTACTTGTAGTTCGTGGCCGTCCTACTGCAGAATTCGTTTCAAAGCTTCCAGATTCGGAAAGTCACCGAAATAGATTCGCAAATGTTGCTGCACAAGGAGTCACGCGTTGGGGATACCTTTCCTGATAGATGCGTCTGGCCTCGCTTGAATTCCCGTCAGCCAAGCCGTATGCAAAAACCATATCAGCCATTTCAGCATTCGTAAAGTCGGGCATGGAACCAAAAAATCACTCTATAAACTCCGAACTGTGAATTTGTCAATTAATAGTTAAAAATGTGACAGCAAACTTCTATTTTTATAAACAAACTTTCATAGCCTACTCGATTTAATTAACTTACTTTGCAAGCGGAGAGTGACAAAAATTATTGAAATCAAATTTGGCTATAAAGTAATGTGCATCGATATAGAAAATTGTAAATATCTCGAAAACGATCACCTCCAGCGTTGTTGAGAAGGTGTACCTTAGTTTACTGTCAAAAAAGTTAGGGCAATTTGAAATAAATAATGACAGCATACGCAGCGCCCTCTAGATGTTACATGAAAATTAATACAAAATTATGATTTCCCACTTCAAAAAAACTCCGAGTACCGAATTTCGTGCAAATATCTTAGTTTTTGCAAGAATTATTTTCAAAAAGCGAACAAAAAAATTCAATTTCACCACTCCGTTTCTCCGAAACGAAGCATTTTCGGACACAACTACATATAGACTTTTTTTCTTAAAATTGTCTCAGGAATACGTCACTTGAATATTTTAACGTAATTATGTTACAACCTGTATATAGGATGTCACAGTTCCTAAGAATGAAGAAATCCATGAAAGGACGGCGTTTTGCGACGATTGATGAGATAAAAACCAAATCGCTGAGAAAGCTCGAGGACATACCAAAAAGGGCATATCAGAATTACTTCGAAGTAGTCCTCCCCTATGGGGAATTACTTCGAAGGGAAAGGAATGAAAATTGATGAATAAATAAATAGTTTTTGAAATAAATGAAAATTCACCTCATTTTTTACAGACCTCGTGAATGTAATTCCGTAAACACTTGAAGTTTTTCATTATTATACTTCCTCACTTTTGCAGTTCTGAACTACGCCGGACCAAGATTGAACTTCACACATGTCAACCGAGACCACATGGGATCATACCTTTGTATAGCGACCAATGGAATCCCACCATCCGTTAGCAAACGGATAAAATTAGTTGTACAATGTAAGTTATTTTCCCATAATTTTTTTCTTATTTTGATGGTCATAAAAACGAACACTGAAAAAATAGAGGCCATTAGTTTGTTCGACATTGATAATATTATTTGAAGGCTTTGAACGATTAGTGAAGTCGTATATCACCTTCTACCACATTTTGAAGATAATAAAGGAGGCACTGAAAATGGATAAAACTAATTGTATAATGTAATTCATTTCCTCATACATTTTTCATATTTCTGACGGTCATAAAAAATAAACACTGAAAAAATAGTGGAGACTATTGTTCTATATGACATTGATGATACTAAATTATTTCACAAGTTTTATCCGTTTCAATGTCACGTCTTTTCGTAGCTCTATATCTCAATGAATATTCATTCTGCTGTGTCATGGTATATACTGATCCATAAACAATTGTGTACTCTATACATTCACTATACAATAATGCTAATCATTTTTTCCAAATTTTATTTTTCGACTCTTTTCAGCTTATTACTATTACGATTTTTCGACAGTTGCTTATACGAATTCAAATCAAACGAAACTCCTGCCGAAACAGCCCAAAAAATCAACCAGACATTTGACAATGATAATGTTAATGAACGCATCGTTCGAAGTCGGTTTGCGAAATTTCTTGGAGACTGACCCATCACAAACGGTACATGGGATAGAGCAAAAACTGGGCGTCGGCTCCTGTGTGGTTTTTGATGGTTTGAAACGTAGTGGAAAAATCAAAATGCTCCAAAGTCAGTGCTCCACGAGCGATCGACAAAAATTATCACTTTTGGCGAAAGTTTCAAAATTGTAAATTATGATATCCCTACCTCCTTCAGTAATATATTTGATGAATATCACTGGAGTTTCAATCCCATTACCAAACAGTTAATTTCAACACCTCAACACGTGTTTCAATCACCAAGTGATCATCTTCAAGAGAAAGATAAAGGAGAAGTTTAATCTTCCTTTTGGAGTTGATCACTTGGTGATTGAAACACGTGTCGAGATGTAACAAATAACGGTTTGGTGTTTGAATTGAAAACTCCAATAACATTCATTACTACACCAATGGTTCCAAACAGTATATGAAATGTAAGGACAGTTATTTGAAAGATAGGTAGTTGGACGAAACGGGATGCCAACTTTAAAATTCAACACTAAAATTTCCAGGGGTTGAATTTATTCAACACTGAAAATTCTAGGGGTTGTTCCCCTAGAAATTTCAGTGTTGAATTTTAAAGTTGACATCCTGGTTCGCCCAACTATCTGTCTTTCAAATACCTGTCCTTACATCTTACCTGAAAACTCCTGATATAACCGAGCTTTCAAACTTGACATTTCAGTTTTCTACTTGATAATGCGGTCAAACCGCAACCGGTCAACCGGTCGTATAAATAAAATCAACTAGTGTTAATTAGACAATAGTGTCTTTAATCATTTCATTAAAGTTCCAAACAATGCATCACAAGTACATATTTGATGAAGATAATCAAATAGTGGCGAAACCTGAAATCAATATAAATTGATGGATGTTACTATGTGGTAGGAGATCATGATGAAAAGAGAAATGAAAATTTTTATGTTTTTTACCAATTTTTATAAATAAAAGTGGTAAAAAACATAGAAATTTTCATTTCTCTTTTCATTGAAATCAATATGTTGTTCAATGGAAAGGTAATAATATATTCACTTTCCCAAGTCAACATTAAGATTCTTTGATATTTGCTGCAGAAGTCTATTTTTGTGAAGGCCCATTTCTCACTCACGCAACTTCATTGAAGTCGATGCCAATTAATTTTCTTTTTATGCGCTCTGGAAAAGCACAAAAAGTAAAAATATCGACTCTCCGAAAGTATATAATCATTAAATCATTAGAATACACGCTATGTTGCGACAGATATATGAAAGAAATACATGAAGTCCTTGAAAAAGTTCAAAAAAGAAATCATAATTTGCTAATGTCACCCTCCACGAACTCATCGACAGAAAGGATCGTTCGAGGAGTGGTATATAGGTTCTTTCGATTGAATTCTCACAATTAGCATCTCATTTATCATTCACAAGGAGAAAACAGATACTGAGGTGACAAAAATCAAATAGACAAGTTATGACTCAGTTCAAAGTTAAAATTTCCATTACAACCAAGAGAAAACGGCTACATTTAGACACAGAAGAAAAAAGTTGTTGAATGATAACTATGAATGAAACTAGAATCTTGAAATATGCAGGTATGTTTTTTGTATAGCATAAATAAGCATCAAGGGAATTAGGAATTTCCACCCCCAAGGGAAAAAAATAGGGTTTAAAAATTGTATTGAGTTTCGTCAGTTTCACTATTGGAAACCTGAAGTTTTGGGTTATTAAAAAAATATTGTAACTATTCATTCGGATTGGTCTGTTACGAAACTCAAAATTCTACGCGAGCAAAGCCGCGGACACCAACTAGTAATTCATATTCTCACTCCAAAAATACAGTTACTAAAAAACTATGCCAACTGCATCGTCCCCCGTCGTTTTACAGGAGACGCGACGCGTAATGGCTTACTGCGTTGCGTCAAGTTGATCTTATTGTGACATTTGAACGATTCGTTCAAATTACTTAGTGTAAAAGACAAAGTTTATCTATATTAAATACTTCAAACAACAAATGTATCAATTTTTATAAGAATTCAAGAGATATTTCAAAATTTGCATCGTAAAAGAAGTATCCAATTCAATTGTATTTATGGCTCAGTATTTTGCATATAGTGGCAACCATTTAGGAAGTAGATATATGCTATCACAGACTATTATTTAGGACTATTCAAGATAAACAATCTTACGGTACAATATCTTCATGTAACTCCAACGGTATAGGCAGCGCACGCCAGGATACCTCTCAGGAAGCAAGAATTTTTCCAGCCTACTTAATGCTTATCGTTATATTATAACTAAAATCACACATAATCTTTGAAAATTTCAGCCTATACGTTATTCTGATGTATAAGCTGTATATTTGTAAAGTTTCACCTAAATCCGATCAATCTATTAGACGTGAAAGGCCACTAACATACATAAATACATTCATTTATGCATCCTCACAATCTTTCATATTTATAATATTAGTATAGATATAGATATACCACATTGAGCAATCAATTTACTATCCATCTCGAACTTGTGCAAGTAATGCCGAATAGGTTTGTGAATGAACAGGTTAATAATCATCGCCTATTTTTTGTTTCAGTTTCTCCATCGGTATATATCCAATATCAGCTTATCGGGGCTTACGATGATCAGCAAGTCACTTTGGAATGTTTCTCACAAGCTTTTCCTAAATCCATCAACTACTGGACTAAAGATTCTGGAGAAATCATACCTCACAGTAAGATAATTCATTATCATTAAGTTCTATTATTTTTCTGTCAACGGTATTGACTACTATGGTCAAGATCATTCTGTTCTGTGTAGTTATAATGTAGTTATAATAAAAACTATCCAAGCCATTTAGTATGCACCATGGCCATTCCTAGTCCTGTCAATTAACCCACTTTCTCCACCAGAAAAATAAATTGGGTTCGAACTCAGGACCTCAGAGTCGAAAATCGGTACTGGCGCTTAGCGAATTAACCGCTTAAATTGCTCTGGTGTTACTTTATATCATTGTTTCTGCAAAAAATGATGATATTCGATACCTTAAGATCAGGTACTTATTTTACATCAGGAGACTGGTAATAAAGATTATTGTTTTCATCATCTTGTAGCAGGATCTTCACCAATACTCAATATTCCAATTGAGAAAATTAAACTTAATATATTTCTCTTGATATAATGGTGAAAAAGACAAAGCAGGTTATAGTTCAAAGAATTATGAAGTCAATATGGTTTTTCTATGTTATGCACAGAGATATTAAAACAAAAATTAATATTGTAATTTTTATTTGTTATGCATGAGGTGTTTGTGATGTCCTGTTGTTTTAAAATATTACCACCTGAATAATCTATAGTGAAATTCAAATAAATCATGGTAGATTCCTGAAAATTCAACTTCCCTGACACTATTACACCTCCTTGTTTCTGAATCAAGTGATAAGTAATCCGGTTAGATGTCTCATTACATTAAACAATAAATCATGAAGACTGAAACCTTCACCAAATGTCAACAATTTTCGCTAATTCGCTGGAATTTAAAACCGATGAATTCGCCAAAATTGAGAAAATTCTCTGGAGTTATATGGAATCGTGAAATTATTTTTAAATCACATGAATTCTTACTTGAAGAGAAAAATTTCAATCTCTCTCATTCCCAAGTATTTTCAATATTTTGGCGAGCCATTTTTTTCTATTCCTGGTGAATTCGCCAAAATATCGGAATACACTTTCGAATTCTTTGATTTTAAATTCTGAGGAATTCACCAGAAGATTGTTTTACTTTCAAAACAGAGAGAGATCCAATTCTCCTCTCGATACGGGAATACACTTGATCGTGATACTAAATCTTTTGCATGAATTTTGTATATTTTGGCGAATTGGTTGGTTTTTAATTTTGGCGAGTTACCCTGGTTTTTAATTTTGGCGAATTCGCCTAAAATTGTTGCCAATTAGTGAAAGTCTAAATTTTCATGTTCGCTTATTACTGAGTCCACCAACGCTCAAATTGTAGTTCTCTAGCCTCTAGTTTTTATGTTATGAAAATGTAATTTTCTTTTTTTTATATGATGATCTCCTATGACTTAGTAAAGGGCTACATACATCCATCAATTCACTGGTAATATTGATTTATGTGAAAATAAATCAAACCGTAACAAGGCATTTTCATAAGTGGAGGCAATGTCTAGTCCTCTTATGAAGACACCGTCTATGTGATCTTCGAATATGATAGGTAAACAAGGCTGCAGAAGATCGTCAAATATAAAATCTAGCTTTGACATCGATTACCGAACGAGATTTGTATCCTGTCTTCCACTGCAGCTTTCCCTGAGAGTATTCGTGGCCCAACTCGAATGCATTGCTGGACTGATTTCAAAGGACAAGCCTGAGTAAGAAAGAAGATAAGCAATTATTTCGTCTTTCTCTACAGCTTTCACTCGAGTGGAACCTGAACCAAACGTTTCGTCTGCTACTGCAACATACATCATCATAATCATTATAACTTTCGTCCTCGCAATCAACGTACAACGTACTGATGGGCCTACTAGCCAGGATTTGGAACGGAGGTGAAATATTTTGGCAGTATTCTTGACAAAAAATTCATCTTGAACGCTCCTTTGAAAAAGTTTAACACAAAGCTTAGGGAGAAGTTGCCTGGTGACTGAAGGTTTCACAGAAAACGACTCAGGCGAACCTCTGGCTCACAAAAACAAGCTTGTCTGGCCATCTGTGGTGCTATCAGTAACAAACCGTCAGCGGCCAGGGAGATCCTTCCTAGATCTACCTCCTTTTCACATTTTTCCGGAGAAAGGGGCTATTTGGCCTGCATATAGACTTGTGCACGTAACCTAACCTATTGCACAAATCAATCTGATGCAGAGTACAATAGACTGCTGGTTGACACTGAAAATCACAACATTCTGAGAATGATCTTTGACACTATGCCCGTCAACTATGAAAAAAATATGTTTTAAATCTGCCTCATACAGTACTGTTCCCAAGTGAATAGAGCTGGATCCTCCGGGAGAAGGAAATATCAAGATCAGATAATTGTTGGTTCAGAGTTGGATCAAAAACACCTTCAGGTTCTGGTGCAGGTATTTTCAATCGCAGGCCCAAGAGATATCAACCTGCTCAGGAACCTATGCGACTATATTTCAAACGGAAATCTATGCTGTGTACGGCGACATTGGTAGAATCTAACCTCATACACAAGTCAATAAAAATAATCTCGGGCAGTCAAGGGGCGTTGGAAGTTCTTGGCTTCTACCGAGCAACGTCTAAATTGGTAGCAAACTGCCAAAAAAGACTCTCCTCGATAGGAAGACTAAACAGATTGTCTCTGGTCTGAACCCCTGGCCATACGGGCCTGAAAGGCAATGAGACTGCTGACTTTGCAGAGGAGGGTGCTGCAAGAAGGTTCATCGGACCAGAACCTGTCATTGGCATCGCTTTAAGATTTGCCAAACAAACATTGAACACCTGGATGGCCAAAACATTTATGGACTTCTGGCAAAGCTTGAAACCGAACATTATAAAACTGAACCATATAAACTAATCGGCTTCATTGAGAAGCTGGGTTTATGTGGTACTGTGAATAGGTGTGAGCCACAATAAACTCTCACGGGTTGCGGTGGAGAGTCATAACTACCCACTCACTTTCTACCCAACCTAACCTATTTAGCCAGGATTTGTTCTCTTCAAACATGATTCCGGAGGTGAAAGCTTATGTTTTTTTTTGAGTAGGCTAATGAGGCCTACGATGGGTCGAAACAGAGATTTATGGTTTTGGATCAGGAATTATTCATTTTTGGGCTCTGATTCCAACCTTGGAGGATACCAAGAATTTGTGAATAAATTGTGAATGGGTATTTCATACATAACAATCAGTATTTTTCAACAAATTTCAGTCCGAAAAACCAGTTTATACTATTAAAATACGAATAGTTGCTGAGGAATGAAGCAATCTTGAATATAGTAATAAAAAGTTATAAAAAAACAAAAACAAAAAATTTCAGGTGATACAAAAATTTGGCTTCTGACTCCCTAGTGGTCAATTCACTCACAAAAATGTCATGACTCCAAGGGGGCTATAGACAAAAGCTGCTTTACGAAAAAAAGCTCATTTAAAAATTACGTAGAATAAAACTAGGCTATACAATATAATATTGATAAAAATTTAAACGGTCTCACTTTCCAGGTGCAAAGTACGTTCCGGAAATAATTGAGGAAGGCTACAAAGTACACATGAAGCTAACGATAAAATCTATAGGACCCAAAGATTATGGAGTATATAAATGTATATCAAAAAATTCACTGGGAGATATGGAAGGAACCATCAACGTTTACAGTAAGTTGTTGCTATTATATCATCAATTTTCTGTTTTATAGTCAGATGAACTTGAGGTAACTGATTTTGTTGTTCCGTAGTTTTCACTATTTCATTCATAACTCACCCGGTTATTAAATGAAGTTATTTTATTCAGTTTCATCGCAAATAGTTACTGCTATACGTTGAAACAATAATTAATAAAAAAGTTAGAGAACTTTGACGTACCCATTCGATAAAAAAAATAAGTATTTTTTTATTTTCAGGAATACCTGATCCAAATAAATATATCCCTAGCAATAAAAGGCAGCAAGGTATGTATTACGAGTAATGCACATTTTTGTCATCAACTAAATTTTCTCTCCAAGATGTATCAATTAATCATATTCACCAAAATGAAGTCCAGACTAGTTGCAAATAACCATTCAATCAGTTCACTATGTATATGACTGAGTTTTTGATCGAATGATGATATTCTGTAAAAAAACAAAATTTTCTGTGAACATCTTCAGGAAGAATTGAATCTGAACCAGAATCAAGTTCAAACGACAAGAGTCAATATCCGCAACATCCTCAATAACTTTTTAAAAAAATGGTTTTTCAAACGACTTACTTTTGCCAACCTTTTTTTAGGTATTTTAAAAATATAGGTTTCATACCTACCATTTGCAAAATTGTGATTACACATACCTGTTACATACTTTTTATGCACTGTTTGGAAACTTTGGTGTAGTAATGAATATAACTGAAGTTTTTTTCCAACACCAAATCGTTATTTTTAACACCTCGACACGTGTTTCGATTACCAAGTAAATATCTTCAAGAGAAAGATCAAACTTCCTCTTCCTCTTGAAGATGACAACTTGATGATCGGAACATGTGTCGATGTGTTAAATTAACGGTTTGTTGTTGGGAAAAACTCCAGTAATATTCATACCTGTTACATGTTTATTCATCACAGTCTATCGTCTCTTCTTCTCTTCTGAACACTTCTCTATTCCAAGCTGAATCTTGCTCCTTTTGAAGAACTTGCGCTTCATCTTGAATTTTGTCAATTTTCATTCGACGCTGTTTTACCTGATGTTTGTGAAGCTGAGAAAAGGTAGATGTTTCCAAAAGTATTGTTTTTTTGAATTCTTCAGTACCATATACAGGCTGATTCACGGTGGATGGCACATTAGATGTTTCTGGTGAACCAGGCAACGGATCACTTTGAAAATTTAATGGAGGGCATATTCGGACATTCTCTAGCCAACTAAAATATTTTCGACAATGCGGTGTTGCCGCTTCTATTAGAAA